GTTGCTGTTGTTGTTGTTGTTGTTGTTGTTGTTGTTGTTGTTGTTGTTGTTGTTGTTGTTGTTGTTGTTGTTGTTGTTGTTGTTGTTGTTGTTGTTGTTGTTGTTCTTGTTGTTGTTGTTGTTGTTGTTGTTGTTGTTGTTGTTGTCGTCGTTGTCGTTACTAGTTTTAATAAAACCATAGAACAATTCTCTTACCTAGACGCAACAAAGCCATTACTCTATAGAACGCAGCGTATGATCTAGCCGACAATAGGTAACTCGAGCCACTAACGATTTTACGCAGTAAATAAAATGTCCTCCATTTTCCCAATCTATGCCTGAACCGATTTCTATACCCAGCATTCCTAAACCGAGACTGTCCTATTAAATATAAAACGAAGATCTTGACCCCTTTTTGCTTCAACTTCAAAGCAGGTTTAATAGGGTCCAAGGCATTTTCACCATTTCTGCCCGCTGTGAATAGAAATATCACTTTTTTGGCTTTATTCCGTGCTCCATTGTTAATGTTGTGTATGAGGTCAGTGCGTACGTATTCCAGCGCCTTGCCGATATCTGTGGAACCGTCTTGGAACCTGAAAAATACAAGATTATTTACTGATTTAATTTTCGGCACATTAAATCATTAATCTAATTTTCGCTCATTCTCAGCGTGATAATTATATCGGTGCTAAACTGTTTACGCTAAGAGTCTGTATATATCAGCCCAGCTAACCAGAAGCTCTGCTTGCCCTGGTTAAATTAATGCACATGAAATTCAATGTGTGTTCATATGGGAAACGAGTAGGCCAAGCTAGCTTAGAAGTCGTATCTCAGTCAAGTGTGATATAATTTTCCAAATGAATGGTTAATCCCACCAGACCGGGATAGGCATTCTTCCAAAACACCTTTTCGATAATTACGTCATGAATACGCTCTTGGTGTGGGAGCCTCACTCTTGGTTAGGGAGCCTCGCTCTTGGTCTGGGAACCTCGCTCTTGGTCTAGGAGCCTCGCTCTTGGTCTGGGAGCCTCGCGCTTGGTCTGGGAGCCTCGCTCTTGGTCTTGGAGCCTCGCGCTTTGTCTGGGAGCATCGCTCTTGGTCTGGGAGCCTCACGCTTGGTCTGGAAACCTCGCTCTTAGTCTGCGGGCCTCCCTCTTGGTCTAGGAGCTTCACTCTTGGTCTTGGAACCTCGCTCTTGGTCTGGGGGCCTCGCTCTTGGTCTGAGAGCCTCGCTCTTGGTCTGGGTGCCTCGCTTTGTTCTGGGAGCCTCGCTATTGGTCTGGAAACCTTGGTCTGGGAGCCTTCGGCTCTTGGTCTGGGAGCCCTCAGTTCATGGTATGGGTGCCGCCCAGTCAGCCTACCGTTGGAGAGCGAGCAAAATAATATATGTATATGTAATAGTAATAATAATTGAATAATAAGAAGCTTTAATCAAACTCGCGAAATGCTATGTGAGAACGAATCAAAAGACAATACAACAAACAAAGGCGAGTTAAATATGGGATCGGCGAACGGACTCGAAGTCCTCCCAACAAGGCAAACCCCGCACATAAACTTAACTAGAAATTTACACTAAGAAAACCGCATAAACTTCAATAAAAGTTCTCTAATACCACTAAACAGACAGCCCATTCTCTTGCTCAGGTTGACTGCACTTTCCAACGTAGAAACAAATTAATTTAATATAGGAATTATTTCGGAAAACAATCCTAACCCATGTGCTATAGCACTAACCCTAATTCTAATTTAAAGATAAGGATGCACATTGTACAGTCAATCTGAGGAAGAGACTGGGATGGTGCAGTATTGCATTCTCAGCTCCTCAGTAATACACCTTCGCCGCTTATTAATAAAAACAAGAAGGGCTGCCAATAGACGGCTACAAAAATAATGTTTATACAAACGAGATTTAAACGCACTGATGGAAGTTCATTTGCGTATTTCAAGTGATAGATTATTCCAAAGGTTTACAGCTAATTAATAGCTACTTAATGTAATGGTGTGCTTGTGTATTGGCTTACTATAGGTTTTAGTTGTAGACGTTTTTATTAACCGCGCGTCAATCCCCTGCCTTTCCTGTGCTAACTGTTAACTATTTGGGGCAATAATACTTTTTAGTATTTTTGCACAAGTGAACATAACAAATCCCACAAGCTGATTGGTCAAATTTGACGTATTAATCTGTTATATTCACCTACAGGTGAATAGAACAAAATCGAAATTTTCAAAATGGCGGCTAGCCGTTTTGTTGAAGTTAGTGATAAAGAAATAAGCGAAATTAAAACAAATTCAGATAAAAAAAAAACACAAAAAAACTTGTGCAAAAATACTAAAACAATTATTCGCCTCAGGCTCGGTGATTATCGGGGAATATTCACCTCGACTTCATCACGGCGAATATTCCCCGATAATCACCTCGCCTTCGGCGAATAATTGTTAAATGTGAATTAATTTCTGACTCGTTTATTGCGCTGAAGTACAGAAAACAGAGCTCATCGTGGCAAGATATCTATATGCCATGCATATGTCAATTATTAGCAAGCAATAAATTACTCACTTTAAATTTTTAATTTGTCTCTCCACACAATCCTTATTGGCGTATTTGTTGAAGTCAAAATGTAATGTCACGTTGCCATTGTACGAAGCGACTGCGACTCGAGTTTTGGCGGGAAAAATTGAAAAGTAGTTCAGTAAGTTTGATGCAAACCGCTTTGCTGTCTTGAAACTGTATCTACCAACACTGTTAGACGAATCCAGTAAAAATACAACGTCAAATTTGGTGCTGGTAGGCTCTGTTGAAGAAAAAGAAGAAAATTGTATTACGCATTATTATGTATTAAGCATTTATTAAGCATTATTATGAAAAAGATTTGTAACCCTAACAAATATTCTTTCAAATTAAGCAATTCATGCATGTTGCCATTTTCCTTTAGCTAAAGGAACATTGATGCACTAATAATTCCGTCATGAATTACATATAATCGCGCTTTTTCAGACAGATAGAACTAAGTGACATGTAAAACTCTTTCAAAAGTTTGATCAAACTTACTTGGCTTTATTGGCTTGTTGAACCAGAAACGTTTTTCTGTCAAGCCATCTAAGAAAGAGACAATGATGAATATTTATACATCCAAATCAACAACATATATATGAGACAAAGCTTTTACATATTTGATTTTAGTTCCTGCTTCACAAACTTCTTTCAAGGATTAAAGTTCTCTTACAACCTTTGTAACATTCATTAATTCTGGCTGGCTGACAAAAGCCTTTGACAATACAAGATAATAGGAAATAAAAGTCGGATATCACTGTCCAGGAGAGTACAAATGAATGCATGCGATAGCATGAATTTAAAGTAACAAGGACCTTTATACTTAATGATGAAAATTTTGGTTTAAGCGAATTATCATTCCAAAATATTCCGTAATATTTCAGTTGCCCAAAAATAAATTTTGATAAATATTGGTTGCCAAAAGACAAATTTTGGCTCCCCGCATAATCAAGTAAGAGCTCTGTGTGTCTTATAGCTACCTGTCTACATGAAAAAGCGGGATATATAGACGACAAAGTTTTCTATGACAAGTTTTCATATGACTCTAATATATTTCTCCATGTAGGATGAAAAATTTTTATGACATGAAAAACTTTTTTACCGCTGACAAACGAGATCCAAATGGGCAAATTGCTTTGTCAAATTTTCTTTGTTGATCCATATACAGACGAGCAAATTTTCTACTTTGCCATTTTTTCTTTGTGGATTTGTTCAAAAGCTAACCGTGTTAGCTAGAGAGACTTGGCAAAGTTGCCTAAGGCAGACGAGAAAATAACTCGTCTTATGAAAACTTGTTCATCTGTAACATGGAATCATACACTGAGAGGTAAAAAGAGCAAAATTAGTTTAATGTAACAGTTAAGGCCCATATACAGACCGAAAGCGATTCGATAATGCGACGCGAATTTTCACTGTTTAAAAACAAATAAAACCGTCAACGTATAAAAATTTTACAAGATATACGCAGATCAAATATCTAAAATTGCTTAACTGGTTCCGAATATACTTGAAAAACATAGAAAAATTTTAAAGTTAAATGTCATTGAAAATTGAAAATTTGCGTCGCATTGCCAAACTAAACGCCGAGAGCATGCAGTGGTATGTAGTCATATATATACAGAGGGTCACAGGATGAGGTAATTGTATGACTGAATACCGACGCGGGATTGCCGCGGGAATCTATAAGCTAACAAAAACATCATCACGTATTATTTTACATACCATTTAAATCATTTGGTATATTAGCACACCAACTAATTCCCAAAAACGCTCCAAAAAGGAATGGAAACAAGAGATATTTTTCCATTGCAGCTTCAATGCACGAGAATAAACCTAAGCCCATCAGCAAACCCTTTTTATACTGCATTTCTCTAAAATTTCTTCACAAACAAGGAAGACAAAACATCCTTGCTGCAGAAAGATCTTTGTTGCTTTCACCTGATAAAAGTTGCATAAAGAACACGGAAATCACAACAAAGCGACAAGTATATAATATCAACAGTTTTAAAACGGAACTTTCATTGTGAGTTTAAGTGCAATCAGAGGATATTGCTCCGTTTAAAATTAAAGGACTTTTTCAACTGAAAACAAAGATAAATTGATTGAACTTGTGAATAACATAGAATGTAGCATGTTACTATAGATCCATTAGAAAATCGGTTGCAATTATATACGAGCATGTTCACGACAAACCGACTGCTAGCAACGGTTGTATGACATTAATTTATCAAATATGGGCTACGAATTAGGACAGGAATATATCAACAAATAACAAACCTGTGCCGCGTATTTCAGGATAAACCATTTCGCATACATGAATATTATAATAATAGGGATTAATTAAGACTTAATTATATAGGGAGTTTCTCTTGGTACTAATTGTAATTACTCAATTGAATGGACACATCTCGTCAAATCACTCAACTAAGATTTCACATTATTTGTACACGGTGAAGCCGTCTCAACATAAATTCATTGCTTCTTATTAAGGTCGAGTCTGTCGTTCGCCTCGATTGCCTAGGCATGCTTATATTTGACATAAATACAATTGATATATATTTCCATTCGTTATTAATCTGCTTTTTGAAGGCAAATTGCGTTTTCGTGATTGGCTTTTTTTTGGTTTTTGTTCTATTTTAAGAACTTTTTAAGCCAATTCAGAGTCTTGATCGACTGCGCATCCAATTGATGCGTCATGCGTCCATGCAGTGCCGGATTGACCATATATGACAATCTTCTGCGTAAGAAAGCATAACATAATTATAGAAGGCATCGGCAGAATAAGACTGCATGCAATGCAATGGAAAATGCGTTAAACATGTTCATGCCAATTATGTATATGAATATTGTTCATATTGTTTAATTAAGTTAACAAGTTTGTCTTTTAACATTTATACTCTTGCGTCAGGATAAATTACAGTTGAACCATAAATGTAGCTGTATGATTAAAAGTATTAAATACAGTATGCATGTCGAAGTATTGAACTGTTCAATAATTGTTTGTGTTTCAAGTGTATAGTCACAATGCTCAATGAAACTTGAAACTGCATGTCATTAAATCGTTCTTGTACTAGCATATGTATTGCTGTCTTCTTTGTAAAGGCGTTCTGCTCCCTAATTTAAAGCGAGTCATCCGTGCGGAAAATATTCCAGTCTCACCTATATATATATATATATATATATATATATATATATATATATATATATATATATATATATATATATATGTGTGTGTGTGTTATAGTTTAACTGCAGTTTATACCGCCATGTGGAACGTGTCTTCGGATGCCCAGTCAATCAGTGGCGTAGTCAGGTGGCATTTCAAATGCGAGCGCCAACGTCGCGAGGAAACTATGGGGTCCGGTGGCAGCAACCTGACAAATTTTTTTATTTTTAAATTCATTATAACGCTATTTGACATACTTTAGGACGAGGTTTGATGAAATGTTACTGCCACAGACGGGTTGCGTCACTGCAGTCGATACTCTCAGTTGGCTTATTGCATCAGTGGACTCGGAATCTCATGTGAAGCAATCTTCCTTTTTTATGTGGTGTACATGCAAAGATACAATTCCTATAAGTACCATTACACAATCAGGCTCGTAATTAAGATTTTGGTTTTCCCGGGTCTATAGGGAATTTGGTGGCAATGACGTCCAGACAATATTTTATTTTGTAAGGCTTAGAAACTCTATTTCCTGCATTTTAAGAGCAGTTTTAACAGGAAAAAGTCAATTTCATAATCGCAATGACTATGATTTTAAAGTTTATCTCACAATTCTGTGTTTGTATAAATATAAACCATATTGAAACTTATGAAAATTGAAACTTAATAACTGGCTACGTTTTGGAAAATAACTCCACCTTCAGATTAAAAGTGACTAAAGATATGAAAACCTATTTTTACTAAGCCTATATGTTCTAATTATTCAACAGACACAGAATTACTAAAATGCAGTTAGCTTAGAGAAAGTTCCGTCATTGTATTAAGAATTGCAAATATTCTTGTCCAACATGAGCAGCTGCATAATAAAAACATGTATGTGGTAGAACTTTGGACGCTAACCCATGCACTCTTCTTTTCTTTGGGTATTTTTGTAGCGATTTTCTCCTTATTAGTCCCTCTTAAAAACAAAGGTACAAAGGGTTTTTCATTAGCTAAAAGCGTATTTCATAAAAATGACAGATGTAAGGCTCTTACTGGGAAAGACGGAAGTTATAATCAATATTTGAATTGTAAAGTCTGTCGTATTCGGTTTTCGCATGAAATGAAGTCTTATCAAGACTTATCTTTGTTTATAAAATTTTTAATAACTATTTCGAGAAGCGATGTGCGAATTCCTTATATAAGCAGGAATAATAATATAAATCTGTGACTTAATTACATTGCCAGGAAGATAATTTATACAACGGAGCTGAGCTGTAAAATGCACTTCCAGTTGCCTTCAGACAGGCTATTCCTTTAAAAATGGAATAAGTCGATAAATCGAACAGTTTTCGATTAAGTGCGTCACAATGCGACCATGTATAACAAATGGTGGTTGGCAATTCTATTTCACAGTATAAAAAGCAAATATTTAACAATTATTCGCCGAAGGCGAGGTGATTGTCGGGGAATATTCGCCGAGACGAAGTCGAGGTGAATATTCCCCCATAATCATCGAGCCTGAGGTGAATAATTGTTTTAGTAATTTTGCACAAGTTTTTTTGTGTTTTTCTGGTCTGAATTCGTTTTAATTTCGCTTATTTTTCACTCTGCTCGGTTTCCTTTGTTCTTATCGGGGAATATATTCAATATTCCCCTCTAATAAATTTCCATTTAGTAATCCCTCTAATATTCACCTGCAATTAGGCCTAATAATCTCCTCTAGCTAATATTCACCTGCAATGTCTTTGCAGCACAAAAAATGAGAAAAACAACATAACAAAGGCAATATGGCATTAAGAATTATTTCTATTCTGACTCATTAACGCGATCTCGCATTATGAAGAATAAGTACGTTATTTTGAGGCATCTCGGGGATATGTGTTTATTCACCTCGGCGCTGCGCGCCTCGGTGAATAAATCACATATCGCCTCGTTGCCTCACAATAACCTCAACGGCTAGCCGCCATTTTGAAAATTTTGAATACGTCAAAATTAACCAATCACCTTGTAGGATTTGTTATGTTCACTTGTGCAAAAATACCAATACAGAATATTCAACTAAATTTAGTCGTTATCAATGACCAGAAGTTTCGAAATTGAATCTTTTATATTATTATACACGCAGTCTTGAAATATAATTTTAACTATCGAATCGAAATTGTCGAGAAATGTTTTACCAAGAACAATTTAAAAAATGCAAAATCCATGAAAGATATCCTATGAACATGGGATTCTTTGCCGAAATGAGCGCAGTCTAAATAGTTTTGCACCAAATTCCCAACGGTGGACATGCAAATGCGATTTAATTTCGACCGCCAATATTTATTCAATTCGTACATTTGGTCACTTTTGTTTAAAATAACACAAAAATGTGAAGCCCAGCATATGACTTTCAAACAATTTGTTATTATGCCTTGTTTAAAATTGAAAGTCATATACCGGGCTGTAATATTTAAATCCCATGTTAATATTTAAATCCCATGTTCTTTTCTTTTAATTGTTCTATCTACTGGTCAATTAATATATGCAAAAAGCGGGAAAATGTGATTTCAACAGGTAATTTTTAATCTGCTTGTATTTGGTCAATTGTGCTCCGATACGAATTGGTTCATTCAAAAGCTATACAGCCCTTGTTTTTATTAACATGGAGAAATTAAATATGTGCATTTAATATTGAGGGCACAAGAGCACATTAAAATTGGATCACCTTATTTTACACACCGTGTATCAAATAAAAAGAAGGGAGGGTTAAGTCCTTGTTGTCTGCTAATTCGTTTATAATCTTCCGGCCCTAGAGAATTTCCCTCCACCCATAATACCAAATCACCTAAACAAATTAATGACGCAAACCAAAGGAATATTTGACAATAATCAGACTCACCATTGTGGAGAGACCGACCTAAATTTTGGTTTCGCCCTCTTGTTTAATACTATATAGTTGTACGTTTGTGAAAGTAACGCCTTTTTTCATCTTATAGCTACTTTTAAAGAAAACAACGTAATTTTACAGTAAAAGCTCTGGCAGCTGAAGACGCCATAGAATGTACTGTAACCTGTAACTTTACAGAGACTGTTTATAAAATTAACAGAGGTCCTTTTTTTAGACCGTAAAAGGGCAATAATTATGAATTTTTGTAGTTATTATTATTGCAGTAACCGTAATTTGGAATTACAATGTACACTTACTGTAAAAGATTGCGCTCAAACACGTGTCAAATATCGGATTTCGTTTCAAATAAAGTCCATTTTAGCGTAATTTACAATTACAGAATACTTACTGTAGAAGATTACTGTCAAACACATGTCAAATAACAATACAATCCGTTATACTGTAATTTACGATTATATTATACTTACGCTGTAAAAATAACTGTACATTTTTCGGTAAAACCCCAGATTTTGTAACAGTGTATAGATGTTATTAACAATTGAAATATAAGTTCTTTGTATGTTTGCATGGCGACAAAATATATAATAGTTTTGTTTGTGGAAACACCACGTAAATTTATTACTGCATTATTATTATTATTATTGTTATTATTTATATTATTATTATTATTATTAATGTTATTATTATTATTATTATTATTATTATTATTATTATTATTATTATTATTATTATTATTAAAAACTTTCCATTCTCAACAAGAAAATAAACTTATGGACCGTTTGAAATGTCAAGGTTCCTTTTTCGAAAATGTTTCTAAATTCTTCTTATCA